ATCCACCCCCACATTACCATCACCCGGGAGGGGGCTGAGCCACCCCCCAGTACCACAACCCTCCTCCTCATTCCCGGATTTGGGAAGTCGGGCGGTTCCTCCCGGCTCTGTGGCCGCAGGGTGGGGGGGGGCTCTCCCCGGTGTGGGGGCGCAGGGGCAGCCCCCCCACAGCCCCCCAGCCCCCCGTGCCGTGGCAGGTGGGGCGCTCGTCGCTGCTGGTGGGGGCCCTGCACAAACAGTATGCGCAGGAGCTGCTCCCGGACAAGCTCCCGCCGCAGGACAACACCACCACCACCGACTCGGACATGGAGGAGCCCTACCTGCAAGGTAGCGCCCAAATCCCCCCCCCCCGGGACACCCCCAAAACCCCCCTCCCCGGCGAGCAGGGGGGCTGAGCTGGCTGGTTTCTCTCTCTGGGTGTCCCCCCACGCCCCCCAGAGTCCAAAGAGGAGGGGAACCCCCCCCAAGCTGAAGTGTGAGCTCTGCGGCCGCGTCGACTTCGCCTACAAGTTCAAGCGCTCCAAGCGCTTCTGCTCCATGGCCTGTGCCAAGAGGTAACCCCCAACCCCAAACAGCCCCCCTGGGGAACCCCAAAACACGCCTGGGGGATGGGGGAAACCCCAAAGGACACGTCTGGGGGGTGGGGGGGACCCTAAAATCCTATTGAGGGAGTGGGGAAACCCTCAAATCCATTGGGGGGATGTAACCCAAAAACCCCCCTGGTGGAGTGGGGGTAACCCCAAAGTACATCTGGGGGGTGGGGGGACCCTAAAATCCTATTGAGGGAGTGGGGAAACCCTAAAATCCATCGGGGGGACGTAACGCAAAAACCCCCCTGGTGGAGTGGGGGTAACCCCAAAGTACATCTGGGGGATGGGGGAACTCTGAAATGCTATTGAGGGAGTGGGGAGATCCTCAAATCCATCAGGGGGACAGAACCCAAAAACCCCTCTGGTGGAGTGGTGGTAACCCCAAAACACATCTGGGGGCGTAACCCTAAAATCCACCTGGGGGGTGGGGTAACCCTAAAGTCTGCCCAACAGCCCCCTGGGGAGGGGGGGGGTAACCCCAAAACACATCCTGGGGGGTAACCCTAAAATCCATCTGGAGGAGTGGGGAAACCGTAATGTCCACCTGGGGGGTGGGGGGACCCTAAAATCCATCGGGGGGGGTGGGGGTAACCCTAAAATCCATCTGGCCCCTTTCTTCCCAGCAGGAGGGGGGTAACCCCAAAATCCACCTGGGGGTGTGGAGGTAACCCCAAAACACTCCTGAGGGGTGGGGGGAACCCCTACAATCTATCAGGGGGGTGGGAGGAACCCCAAAACCCACCAACATCCCCCTGGTAGGGTGGGGGGAACCCTAAAATTCACCTGGAGGGGTGGGGATAACCCCCAAACACATTTGGGGGAGTAACCCCAAAACACATCTGGGGGGGGATAACCCCAAAACATACCTAGTGAAGTGGGGGGAACACCAAAATCCATCTGGGGGAGGGGTGAGGTAACCCCGAAACACACTTGGAGGGTGGGGGGAACCCTAAATTCCATCTGAGGGGCTGGGGTAACCCCAAAACCCACCAACATCCCAAAATCCATCTGGGGGTGGGGGTAACCCCAAAACCCCCCCCCCCCCCCCCCCCCTCCCAGCAAGGTAGAGGTAACCCCAAAATCCACTTGGCAGGGTGGGGGTAACCCCAAACCCCACCTGCCCCTCCCACACTCTCAGTGGAGTAGAGGGAACCCCAAAAATCCACCCAGCAGGATATAGGGAACCCCAAAACCAACCCAACCCCTCTGGCAGGGTGGGGGTAACCCCCAAAATCCACCTAACCTCCACCCTATCAGGGTAGAGAACCCCAAAACCCACCTGATGGGGTTGCCATAATCCCAAAAATCACTGAGCAGGGTAGAGATAACCCCAAAATCCATTTGGCAGGGTGGGGGCAACCCCAAAATCCACCCACCCTTCCTACACTCTTACTGGAGTAGAGGGAAACCCAAAAATACATCCAGCAGGATAGAGGGAACCCCAAAACCCACCTGACGTCCACCCCATCAGAGTAGAGGGAACCCCAAAACCCACCTGGCAGGGTGGGGGTAACCCCAAAATCCACAGGGCCCCTTGTCAGTGGGGTAGAGAGAACCCCAAAATCCCCCTCAGTGGGGTAGAGAAAACCCCAAAATCCATCTGGCAGGGTGAGGGTAACCCCAAAATCCCCCCATATCCCCCTCAGTGGGGTAGAGAGAACCCCAAAATCCATCTGACAGGGTGAGGGTAACCCCAAAATCCCCCCGTATCCCCCTCAGTGGAGTAGAGGGAACCCCAAAATCCATCTGGCGGGGTGGGGGTAACCCCAAAACCCACCTGACCTCCACCCCATCAGGGTAGAGGTGACCCTAAAACCCACCTGGCAGGGTGGAGGTAACCCTCTACCCCCCCCCCAAAGTGGAGTGTGGGGGTAACCCCCAAACCCCCCTCGCCGTGGGGTGACCCCCCCCGAGCCGCTCCCCCCACAGGTACAACGTGGGCTGCACCAAGAGGGTGGGTTTGTTCCACCCCGACCGCACCAAACTGCAGAAGCCGGGGGGGCCCCCCCACGGACGGCGCCGCAGCTGCAAAGGGCCCCTGCCCCCCCTGGGCAAGGACAGCAAGAAACAGGTGAGGGGGCACGGGGGGCACAAAGCGGGCACGGGGGCACCCAGGCTGGGGCTTGGCACTCAATTCTGGGCACACGGGCTGGGGGCTGGGCCGGGGGTTGCCCCTGAATTGTGGGGCTGGGGTGGGCACCGAGGCTGCGGTTTGTACCCAGCTGAGGGACAGGGGGTGGGCACCGAGGTTTGTACCCGGCTGGGG